AGTGGAAAGAAGCAACTCTAACGTAGGAGCAGGTAGGATTTCGGAGAGCGCTGTCGTGTCAGCAACGTCAGCCGCCAGGAGCTAGAGACGTGATTGTTTTGTTGCCCCGACTAGCAAAGTGCTGCAAGTGCTTTCTTGGGACTGACTGCTGCACACAATGGATATTCATGAAGAGCGTGCAGAATCCTCCGGTGCTGGGCCTTCCCACAGGGCAGCCGGCGTTGCATATGACGTCTTCATCAGCCATTGTGGGGCTGACTGCAAGCGTGACTTTGCTGTCCAGCTCAAGAACGAGCTGGAGCGGGCGGGGTTATGCTGCTTCCTGGATGACAGGGACCTGCGGTTGGAAGACGATGCAGCAAAAACAATCTGCGCAGCAATGGAAACAACAAAGTTCGGGGTGGTTTTGGTCACAGAGGGGTTCTTCAAGCGGGAGTGGCGTATCAAGGAACTGGAGACGTTCTTGAGGAGGGGAAACTGCACACCAGTGTTCCTGGAGAGGTCTATGGAGAGGCAGGGGGAGATTGTGGAAGAATGCAGATCCAGCAGGGTCTGGGAGGGGTTTGGGAGATTCTTGTGGTCAGAGGAAGAGTACTTGGGTTTGGTGAAGGGGGTGTTTGGCTTTGTGGGCCTGAGGCTAGATGCATCGGACGGCTTTTGGGACACCTGCTTTGCCAAGCTCAAGCAAGAGCTGCTTCTCCAGTTGGGGAGAATCGAGGGGCCACCAATGCTGCCAGAACCATCGCTCCTAGTCGGGATGGAGGAGCATGTTGAGGCAGTCAAGGTCCTGATGGGATTCAGGACAACGCCGCAAAGTGGGGAGGGAGGGAGCGCTCAAGAGGTGGGGATCGTTGGCGTGAAGGGCATGGGCGGAGTTGGGAAGACAACGCTGGCAAAGCTTGTGTACAACGACAAAGAAGTGAGGGCTTTCTTTGGGAAGAGGGTGTGCTGGTTAGAAGTCAATCAGAAGCCAAGCCAAGAAAAGGTTTGCAAGCTTCAGGAGCAGATATTGCAGGCTTTGGGGGACGCAGGATCAGTTTCAAGAATAGCCGATCCTACGGTGGGCAGGGCAGAGATCAGGAAGGCCTTGCAGAGTGGCGCACCTGTTCTGATCTGCTTGGACAACGTGTGGGTGGACGGACACACCCCGGTTGTCTTTAAAGAGGACCTAAGCCCGGGTAGCTGTATTCTGAAAACCACAAGGGATGCCAACACCATAGCGCCTGGGGGCCAAAAACATGACTTGGACGTCCTGAGCCCTGAAGACGCAGAGCGTCTCTTCCGTGCGACAGCATTGCGGGGCCAGGAGCCGTCTGCTGAGGTCGAGGCTCTGATAGGCCGAACCCTGCCCTTCTGCGCCGGCTTGCCTTTGGCCCTTGAAGTTGTGGGCGCATCAGTGGCGAGACTGTTAACAAAAGAAGATGGTATCTCACTATGGGAGACTCTCTTGGCTGCCATGAGCGGGGCAAGTGTGGGCGTAGTGCAAAGTGGGGCCACAATTATGAACGCTCTTAGAACCAGCTACAATATACTGCCAGATCAAGAGCACAAGGACGCGTTCCTTTTCGTCGCTGGGCTGTTGCTTGGCAGTAAAACCCACTTGTACGGGCTCCCAAGCCGTACATTATATGATCTAGTTGTTTCACAGCTAGCTTTGAAGGTATTCTGCCAGAGGGAACGTGACCGCTCACTGTCTATGGCAGCACTGGTCTTGAGGGAACTGGTAGACCGGTCACTGGTGAAGCACATTACGCCGGAATCTCAAGCTTACTCGTTTGGCGTTGCTCAAGTAACTGTCCATGATCTCCTTATAGATGTCGCAGTTGGAGTCGTAGATACCGAAGACACCAGATTCTGCAGGTGGGTAGAGTCAACCGAGCCTTTCTCGGAGGCGGCTTGGAAGCAGGGGTGGGAGCATGTGGTGGTTTGCGATTCTCCACCATTCCAACTTCCTACCAGCTTCTTTGACAGCAACCGGGTCCTGTCCTTCCGCATTGAGAACTGCTCCTTTCAATTTTCGCAGCCATGGTTGTTTTCATTCAGCAGCAGGCGCAGTGAAGTGGTCAACGAGTGTAGACAGCTCGAGCTCCTGGGTTGCGAGAAGCTGCAGGGCTTGCCCGACTCAATCAAAACGTTCACCAAGCTCATGAGCTTGACTTTGGACTTTTGCCCAGAGCTTCGGAGTTTGCCGAGGTCCTTTGGACAGCTACGTAGTCTGACAGAAATCTCCATATCCCATTGCCCTCAACTACAGTGCTTGCCGAATTCACTTGGGCAGCTTAGGGCTCTTGAAGCCCTGACTTTGGACTCCTGTCGTGGTCTGCAAACTCTGCCACAGTCCATTGGGCAGTTGGAGGGCCTGCAAATCTTGGTGGTGACGCATGCGGCAATCAGGGTGCTACCAGAGTCGTTTGGCCAACTGGTTGGGCTTGGATGGCTGGACTTAGCAGATTGCAACGACCTTCGGTGGCTGCCAGAGTCTATTGGACAACTTACTAGTCTCAAGATGGTGGATTTAGAGAATTGCAAGGCCTTACAAAGCCTACCAGCTTCCCTTAGTGAGTTGACGGGCCTTGAAACCCTGGATTTAACAGGTTGTGAAAGCTTGGCGGGGTGTGAGAATCTGAAATGTATAGTAGAATCCCTTGATGAGGGCACGGTGGTTGGGCACAAAGGATTGTAAGCACTTTGTCAAGCCGGGGGTGCAGGATACCAGCCCGCTTCAAATGTAAGTGCCACAAGCCACAACAATGAATGCACTTCTGTGAAAACCCAGTAGTCCAGATCCTACGACCGCTGCACTGCTTTTGCTCTTAGTTTGCGCTTTTCCAGTCCTCTTGACTTTGCTGCTTCATAGTATCTCCCTTTTCATGCCACTTCTTGAGTTCTGCCCAGGCCTATGCCGTCTGTCCTGCTTGGAAGCTTACCTTGTCCTGTGAGCTTCACTCGGTTTCAAGCATCGTCACAGGGTTCGTCCTTTCGTTTTTCCGTGAACTCCTGCGGCCACGTTGTACAGGTCGTTCAGGCTACAGCAATGGCCCGCACATTCAAACGTCCCTCTAGCACCTGATCCTACGCCCGATGCTTCCTGTTGGCATGCAATGCTGCGCGCGACTCTTCAGGCAGGTACGTGCACGTACTGAGAGCTGAACTCGTCCAATGCTGCAACTGGGCTTGCCTGCCTTCTTCGCGTGGGTCTCTGGATTGATCTTGATTATCATGCAATCCATGGGAAGAATCTTGCAGCGTACAATCGTGTGCTTCGTGGTTGTCTCTGAAAGAGGCAGCTTTTGGGATATGGGTCGAGCTGTTCCTTCTTGCGGAGTCGGCACCCAATGCAACACTGTCAGAACGTTCAAGATAAGGAAGGAAAGACATACCTAACTAAGCGTTTTGGGCAAAATCAAGCATGCTCAATGGTGGCAACTGCTCAGTACTGAAGTCAAGTCCCTTTTTGGTGTTCTGATGCAGGTGATGTGCTAAGGCGATTCCAGGAGTGTTAAAAACGAACAACTTGTGGTGGGGTCTTTTGGCTTTCGTCGACGTTCTGAAACTCGGGGCGAGGTGAGCCATGGATCTATACTTGCTCGTCTGCTTCTTTCCACTTTCTGATAAGTTGCGAGGAGTCGCCCAGAAGAGGACAGGATTAGCAGTGCTGTTTCACAGGAGCCTTCGTGAAATTGCTAAGCACATTATCAACTGAGGGGAACTCTAAAGCCCAGAGTCCAAGTGGAAAATCAGTGCCCCGGATATGACAAAGCTCTTATCACAGAAGCCTGCTCTATATTGGTTGCAGGCCCTCAAGAGCGGCGCTTTCGAGTGTGCACTGAATCTGTTGGAAGGACGGAAGCTTCATGGATGCAAGCCTTTGTACCTTCTAATCGCAATTGAGCCGAAATACAAAGTCCAGTGTTGCGAGAACGGATCTGCAGTGTGCTTAGGCTGATTTTTTAGACCTGCGTTCCTTTGGTCGATCCTCCTAGCTGCGTGTTCCTCCGAATGCATTTTAGCCTCCTCCGTATGCAGGAGCCTCGTCGTCGGGAGTGTCGGTCCTTCTGACGAAAGCGCCGCCGCTGACTAGGACATGATCGGGCCAACAAACCAGCCAGGGCTGTCTCACGTGAGTACTTCTGAAGGCACTGCGTGACAGCGGCGCAAGGAGACCTAATGGCGATCAAAAGTACAGGCCTTGGTATGAGAAAGCGTTATGTTGCCTAATTGATGGACACTGTCGGCGGCTCGACGTTGGTTGCACCACATGCTTCTGAATGGCAGTCATCGCACGAGATCGGGTCGAAGATTGTGAAGGGCCCATGCTTGTCGACTTCTTGTTTCTTCGATGTTTACAAACGCCTGCTCTCGAAGTATCAAGCACACGACGTACTGGCCCACGTAAATAGCAAATCCAATCAGCTTTGTTCTTTTGTGCTCTCAAAACTAAGACCTGGTATCTCTCCTGCAGGCGTCAGACTAGCCCATTCCCTAGCAGCCTGCGGTCTCTGCCCACGCTGCAGCCACGACCCGGATTGAGTTCCTCGGGGGTTCGTTCCCCGAGCGTACCGGTCGGCGCTCGTTTGCTTCGTCGTTCCGGGGAGCTGAGGTATGCGCACATCTCAGCTTACTCATACACTTAATGCAACATACGTAATTGTTGGAAAGGGAAGATATGTTTGAAAAGGTCAAGTCGACCCGTTGAAGAGGGCTACCTACCGTGACTCTTCCTTGACAAGTGACCGTCGAGCCCGTCCCGGCTCTGCCTTGTTGATAACCTGTGCAATCAACATGGTGGCATTCAAATATCTCTTCCCGCCGCTCCTTGTCCGTTTTACATGACAGGCCTTAGCACCAATTGTTGGCCTCAAGAAATGTCACTCCTTCAGAAAACCTTGACGACCCTTCTACTAGTTGAGTGTTCAAAGCTTCTCAATAGCTCAACAGATGTTGGCTGTTCGATGCAGATTGATGTGTCAGGCTGGTTGTACGCGCCACGACTCCTCTTCCGAGGGGCCAGTATGGATCAGAACTGTGACATGGCGGGGAGCCGTTCTTGTTGAGCGACCTAGTAAGTCGGAAACCGAGCCTTCTCTGCGCAGTTCTCTCTCTGTTTATTTTCTGACGGGCGATAAAGAGTCCGTTTAAAAGGTCTGCTTGGTTGACTACGCTTGCAAATGATGGTATCTTCCCAAAAGATAGTCTGCTGGCTGAAGATGTGCGGAGTCTGAAAGGATGCGCGACTCGGGTGAGGCCTTGGTCTGAAGGCCTCCCGTTTCTTCATTCGTCTTAGTAGAAAGCAAAGCAGTCTTGAGAACGGCAGAAACGGGGTAACGCAGTCATTCTCCTTGGAACGTTTTCGAACGTTATTTGTGTCTGCCCTCGTAATATCCAGTAGCGGGCGTTCTATTTAATAACCGTGGGTTGACACCGGTTCCTAGTCAGCTCACATCAGATCAACGATGCACTTCCGTCTACGTCCGGTCGAGAAGCAGAGACGGCCTCAACGAACACAGGACAGAAAGTCGGCCAGTCTTCTTGGTCGACATTTTTTCATCTATTCAAAGCCCAAGCCTCTCCATTGAGGCACTCGTGATGGCCCGTCAAAACCCAAAGATTTTTGAATCTGAATAACTGCCTTTCGTTTCGCATTGCCTAAGAATGGTGGGTTTCTTTCTCCAACAGGCGCGGCCCGGCGACCACGCCACCCGCTGCCTCACTTCCAAGCGACGGCTGCGTGGCGGCTTCTGGAGGCGGCTTTAGCGACCAGCCGAGCTGCAAGTCGGCTGCCGACCGGAGTCTGCCTCGGGCGTCGCCGTGCCTCGCGGCGTGATCAATCAGGTCAGCCTTTCTGCACCCAACCTTTGTTACCGAAGTCTCTCTTCAAACATGGAATCCGTCAAGTTTTGCTCCAGCAAATCAAAATGTATAGATTGCTAAGCAAGATTCCGCAATCAACCATGCGGTTTGTCAGTTCTCGACTTGCGGAACATTGCACATCTGTTTCATATTCTTGGGAGTGTGTCTTCAAAGCTCGGAGCTAGCAACAGGCTTGCTTCCAGAGTTCGAGAGCCCTGATTACTGAGTGAATCATGTTCCCGTACCGGTAAAAGGGTCGGTGTGCCATGAGATCAGCATTTTTGATATGTGCAGGTGCATCGCAGCGAAGCGGTTCCCCATCGAGAGACGGACCGGGACGGATAAGACTGGTCTGGTAGAGATCAGCGCCCTCGGTGCCGGTGACGAGTTGGGCACCCTTGGCTACGTCCGCGCGTGAGTCACAGCGCTCGAGAAAAACCCTTTCTTTCCTTACAAGGTGAGCAGAGGCTACTTTGCTTCCGTCTCGCGAAGTACTTCGGATGGAGTGTTCTCTTTGATTCACAAGCCGTTTTGCAGTCTGGTGAATCTCAGTTCTGCACCAGACTGCTTCTGTGGGTGAATCTCAATCCTGCACCAGACTGCTTCCGGGGGCAATCCTGGAAGAAGTGATGTGTCCTCAGCCAGCTAGAAGTATGTTCTTGACGAACAGGAAGTGGTTTTCGTGACAGGCCAGTGCTTCTGACCGGTGCATAAGCAGACAGTTTCCGATTGTACGTCGTGCCTCATTAAGAAGACGAAAGAAAGGACGGAAGAAAGAATATTTTTCCATCCTGTTGCTTTCCTGTCGCCTTCCTGTCGCTTTCCTGAGGAAGCGACTGCTGCCTTCGAGAAGAGATTCGTCAATCTAGCTTTCTTGTGAAAAAGGGATGCGTTTCCTGATGAGGGACCGTTTTCCAACACGTAGGCGGTCATTTGTCGAATCGGTTTGGCTTCGAAAATGAACCAGTGTGCTCAGCTGTCCTTCTCCCTTTATAACTTTAACCTCGGCAGAATCGAAGAGCCTCGATTGGTAAGAAAGATTCCTCGACCACCCATGCAGGCGGTCAGATCGGCTTGATTTGCGGAACACGGCAAGTCTTTCTCAAATACTAGGGAGTATTGTTCAAAGGTCGCCGTAGCAATAGGGTTGCCTCCACAGTTGGAGAACCCTATGTACCGAGTGAAATATGTACCCGTGTCCCTAAAAGAGTCGGCTTTGGAATGAAACCATCGATCAGCATGTCTGATTCCGCTGCAGACGAATCCGCATCAAGAGACGGACTGGGACGGATAAGACTGGTCTAGGAGAGACCAGCGCCCTCGGTGCCGGTGATGAGGTGGGCACCCTTGGCCGCGACCGCGTGAGAGTAGAAGCGCTCGAGCGAACTCTTCCTTTCCTTACGAGGTGAGCAGAGGCTATTCTGCTTCAATTCTCGCGAGTGCTTCGGAAGCAGTGTGCATTGTGTTTCCTTTACGGGCCGTTTTTGCGGTCTGGAGACTGTAAATCAGGCATCAGACTACTTCGGTGGGCACTGCTGGGAGTCATTAAACGCCTCATGAGCTAAATACTGTTCGCGATGATACAACAAGGTGGTATGAGCGACAGGCGTTGCTTTCGAATGATTGAGAATCAGGCAAAGTCCGTGTACGTTTTGTGCATCAGGGAGGAAAAAGACAAAGTCCGTGTACGTTTTGTGCATCAGGGAGGAAAAAGACAAAGAGAGGACGGGAAAAGCATTCGCTAGACTCACTTCGGACCATTTGCGCAAGCGAGTGATCTCTTCAGGGTATGACCAGCTTGCTGACGTCGGTCATAGGGCGATGCTTCACAGCGGTTGCTGGTCCATCACTCTCTAGTTTGTTCTGTGTGCACCTATCAATAAGATCAAGCATTATCGTTTCGATGTCGTGCAGATTGGCCGTGCACGCCGCGCCTCCCTGTCCGGGGGCCCACTTCGAAGCAGAAGGCGCCTGGCGTTTAATTTCTCGGTTTGGCAACCCTGTAAGTCGGACGCTCTTCCCTTCTCTTCTTTTCTTTCGTCAAGGAGACTTAAGTCAGCAAAGGCAGATGATAAAATCTGTCCAAGATTACTCGCAGAGTACGGGAGGATTCAAAACCGTCTTGTGACTCGGTGATCGTGACATGAGGAACTCTCTTTTCATTGAAATTTGAGGACGAAAACGAAGCAAAGTGACGCGGTCACAGGTTCCCATTCTTCATCGAGCGGAAGCTGCATTGGCGTGCGCCAAAGAGTCGTGTTTACGATCGTCCGGTCTTAACCGCTGTTCACTTTTCGAAACCGCTGGATGGTCATCCGTTCCAAGACCAGTTCTTGAACCCGCACGTAGTGCTCGCAGCAGAGTCGGTTGGAACAGCAACTCGAATCTATCCAGAATTTACGCAGGCCACAGACGGGATTTGCTGATAATAACGGTAGGATTTCAGGCCACGGTTACTGCTCTCTCCTGAAAATTTTCGCAAATTCGTCGAAGTCACGACGCCTTCCAGGCTTCAAATCCGCAGTTCCTCAGTCGAAGCGCTTGTGGTTTCTTGTCAAGCTTTCATACTGGCTCCAACTTCGTTTCTCTCTTCAACAGGGCGACCCAGAAAGCCACGCCGCAGTTGCGGCTTCGCGCTGCTTGCCCTGCCGACCGATCGAGGTGGTGAACGGCTGCGATATCCACCACGGTCGCCAACCGCTCGGGGGCTTGCAGAACAGGTCAGCACTTTCAGACGCACTTATAATTTTCAGTCGGTCAATTGATTCGAAACTTGTCAGATTGTGGGGCCTCCGCTGAACGTTGACCTCCCTATCGGACGGCGCTTTTGCAGAAAATGAAAGCTTTCTAACAGCTTCTGGTCGCTGGGTGCAGACAAAAGGCTGCCGCACAAGCTCCAACGACCTGATTTCGCCGCTTCACTTTTCATGATGCATACGCTCTCGTCCAACCTGATTATCATGGTTCAGTGGTGGCGATCAACCGAGTTGGTCCGGCCGTCCATCATACTCTGTGCCTGATCAGCCAGTAATTGGCTAATTGGTCTCGAAAAGTTATGTGACCTTTGGTGGGGAGTCGAGGTGTCTTTAAAGGCCCAACCAACCGAGACTCGGAGGTCCGTCAATTCCGATCGGCGCTCTCCATTCAGAGAGAGGTTCGACTTTGACATTCATGCGCAAACCGGGGTTTATCTCTACAGGGCCATGCGGAACCTGCTCCCGCATTCTGGTGGTCTTTTTGCAACGGAAGAGCCGAAGAAGCCTCGGACTTGCTGCTCCCCAGGCGGCAAGTTACGGAGCCCCGCCCAGCAGCGGTCGCCGCCCGTTCTACACGGAGAGCGCACGATGCTGACGTGCATCAGCTAAAGGTACGTTTCTTTGTTGAAGCTGCGTGTCGTCACATGGGCTACTCAGCAGCCAGGGTTGTTGCTGTCTAGTCACGGACTTGCATACACGCATTGTGGAGACTAGCCTTCGACAGAACTCTGCCGTGATGTTTCATAACCGTAAGCTGAATCAAGTCGAAGGACACCTCCTTTCACAGTTTCGGGGGCCCCGCTCAAAGTTGCCCGACCACCAACACTTTTCATCAGTATGGCAAGCACAACTATCGATTAACAATCGAGATCGGAACGGCGTGCCCGAGTCTGCTGAGTGACTGTAAGACGCGCTTGTGAGCTTCGCAGATCCACTCTCTACATTCTGGCCGCAAACTCGACGGCTTGTTCGTTCTTGGTGCAGGCGTCGCAACGCCTCGGCTGGTTCCTCGAAACGCACGGCGGGAGATCACCCCTTGGGAGGCCTATGTACAGCCGTTCCGTCTGTCGGGCGGAACGGAAGGCGGCCGCCAGCTTTTACAGTTGCCACGGGTTCACGCCGTGGGGTTTGCCTCAGCTATTGTGGCGGAAAGATCTGGATTTGTATTTATGGCCGGCCGTGTTGGAAGAACGAATAAGTGCTCTTTAGCAGCAGGAGTTGAGCAGCCTGGACGGAGGCGAAGCTCGGTGTTTGCAATGTAGGCTCGGGCGACTTGGCGCTCATTATCGAAAGTTGGATATAGAAGGAGGATAGTACTACTTTCCGCTTTGAAACGTAGTGATTTTCGGGTGGAGCTCAATTCCTAAACCCTGCTATTAAGCAGGTTGGAGAGTGTTTGCTTTTTGAAGCTCCCATGCACTCCACTCAAGTGCAACCTGCAATGCAAATCGTAAGGCCGGGCCGTCAAGCAGATCATGCACTCCTGGAGCGTACTAAGCGTGTTACACATGCCTTATTCAATCTAGCGGTCTCTTCCACTTTGTGGCCAAGTCGTGCAAGCGCTCGTACACATGATACATGTAAGCTTGATTCTATCGAGGCGGTCTCATTAATGCGAAGTCTCCCTTATACGCTATAAAGGTTGTCGTGGGAGGGTTTGCATGCTTCTTCTCAAGTTGATTTGATGAGTTGATGATGGCTCGTGCACATGACCATGGGCTTCATTTGTCCAAGCTTAGGCTGCAAATGATCAAGCTCAGTGCAGCGCCTTTGTATCTTTGTCGGACGGTACAAGAGCTCTTGTAGTACTCGTACTATAACACGAAGCGATCGGACATTTCAAGTTGTTGCACCTATAGGCGCCGCCGCGCGGGCCCGGATCAGGATCTTAATTGCTTCACAAACATTGGGCTTATGTCCATATGCAGCTGATTACATATTTGAGGAAAAGGGACCAGTCTGGCGAATAATCAGTTGAGCTTAGACTAGCTCGGCCAAGTATGCATCCAATATATAAGCATAAGAGTTGCTCACTAATCGGATCGACTCAAAAAGCAGCATGCACTACCATAAAGCCCGTTTGAAGCTGGTGGCCTGCCCTGCACAAGCGCAAGGCTTCTGTCCTTATCTTCAATTGTGAAAGTCCAATTGCGGACCGTCAGCTGAAAAATTAGGTTTAGGTTGACAATCTGATTGAGCTCGAACTAACTTCTGCTAAGTAAGTCCAGATGTTAAGCCTGCTTTTTGTTTGGAAGCAGGAGAATTGGCGGCAAAGTTGTTTGTGGCGTGTTCGACATCGTCGGGCTTCCTGACTGCGAAAAGGATCCACCGCCGTTGACACAGAGAGACAATGATGCAAATATTCAAGAAGTTGACTGCTAAGCAGGCTGACTCTCTGACTTGAGTCTTCGTTTGTTGGACAAGTAACCGGGCTTTGACCTTGCCTCAAGGCTGGTTCAATACCGCCCAAGTCTGGTAATACTAGACATATGACCACTTTCTAACCAGCCCAGAACTGGCCAAGAACCAGCCTTGGTTAAATGCTACAAAAACTCCTGTGGTTAACCGGACACCTCATTTCGGGGGCGGCGGAGCAGGGATCACGGCCCGGAGGGGGGCAGGGCGCGGGCCAATTTAGGGAGGCGGAAATGACAATCGCCGGTGGGGGTGGAGCAGGAGTGGAGCACCGGTTGCAGGGGAAGGGTTGGCGGCGCTGCTTGTTGGAATTGGGGTGGGTGCGCTTGTCGTTGCAAGTGGGGAGGGTGTCAACTTGGCAGTCGGGGCGGGGGTAACTGGCGGCGGTGCCCCGGCATTCGCGGGCGGTGGACTCCCAGTCCCGGTGGGGGGGAGGCGGCAGCCTTGCCAAGGGGTGGGGGCGGGTTGACGGACGGGGATGGAGCACCGATTGCAGGTGGCGGGCTGGCACTTTTGACGGGAGGCGGTGCATTTGAAGCAACTTGAGGGGGGGGTGTTTGAGCCACTTCCAAGGGGGGGTGGCGGGACGGGGGTGGGTGTGACGAGGGGCGAGCCGCTCGTTGGAAGGGGGCTGGGTGTTGGACGGGGGGTGGGTGCGCTTGTCGGCTTGGCAGTTGGGGCGGGGGTAACCGGCGGCGGTGCAACGCCTTTTGCGGGCGGTGGGTTCCTGTTCCCGTTGGGGGGTGGAGCGGCAACCGTGCCAACGGGGGGGGCGGGTTGACGGAAGCTTTCGGGGGCGGTTGCGCAAGCGGGGGGGAGGAAGTGGGCTTGGGTGGGGGGGATCCCTTCAGGGGGAGAGTTCTGGTCGGGGTTGTGACTAGTGGAGGAGCGGACGGCTTGTTTGGAGGAGCGGGGCTAGAAAGAATCGCCGGGGGGGGTGGGTTGGAGGCCTTTGCCGGAGGCGGAACGCCTGTAAGGAATCAAGACCCTGAGCAAGAAGCCCACATGGACACGACTTTGCTGTTCAGTCTGGAGTAACAACTATTGTGACTGCATTGCGACTATTGAACGGACTAGGGCACGCCGAAAAAGCCGTTTAATAGCCTGATTTTGACAAAAGCCACAGAAATTTAGAGACCCGTTGCACGAAGTCAAGCTACTTTACCCGCACCCTTCTCGGTCGGAATCTTTCGTAACGCTCTGCTCCTCTGCTCGGTGCTTTCAATGGATTGATCTTGGCGGCTATGTGCTCATATGAACCCTCCGAACTGAGATCGATCCGATATTTTTCCAAGACGAAAGGGAAGTCTCGTCTCAAATCGAAGGGAAGATTCCTTGTTTAAAGAGAGGAAAATTCCGTGCAGAGAAAGTTCTAGGCCATCAATAGAAAAGCTCTGGCTCCGAACTTGAATAGCCTACTCGCGATCGAGCAGGGAAAGCAATATTCTCCGCCGCACAAGAGATGAACGCGAACGAGACGATCAACCTTGCCAAAGCAGATTTGAAAACACATCGGTTTTCCCTGACCTTTCAATTGAAAGAAACACAAGATGGTTTTGTACTCTACTCGAGGGTCAATCGCATCCACGTTCGCCGCCCGCGCATAGCAAAGGGCATATACTGCGGACCAGTCTAGTTGACAAAGCTTACCTTATGTGGATTTAAGACAGGCAACTTGTGGTCTTGGCCGACGAATGTGAGATGCACAATACGGTGACTTATGATGCGAAGAATGCCGAGCTGCGCGAGTAAATGCGATGAACGAAAACGCTCCAGCTGGCGAGTCCTGCACGATGCCGTACGCTCAAGAATCAGAACCTGCACCGCAAATCCAGAGATCCAGCTTGACTGCGACGAACCCGTTCGGATGATCATGCAGGGTTGCATATGATCCATCATGGCTCGAGGGTTGTTCATATTGCCAATCGTTCATCGTTGCACCATATGAGACTCAAACATTGGAAGCCATGCAGCTTTTCTGACGTCTGCAGGTGGCATATTCTGGCACTAGGCCAGTCACTCTCCGGTGATTGCCAAGTTGTTACTGCCTTGCAGAGGCTCTCTCCATTTCTCCGCTTGCGGTAACTTAGTAGCGTACGGCTGCTGCCGCGGGAGCACTGCGTCCGTTCAAGTTCAATCAATGTTTCATATGTACTGCGCAAACTTGAAGCTATAAAGTGACCAAGTCTGTCGCTCTCGACTCGGAACATCTCGACATGGGAGTCTCGCTAGCAGGAGCTCTGGGATCCTGAACACCTCGTATGGGTTATCTTTATCTAGCTCGTACTCCTTTCTAGTATGATGTGGCTCACCAGGCTGCTCAGCGTCAAGTCAATAATCGACGACTAATTCGACCGATCTTTGCCCTTGTGAGCGCAGGCTGCATGAAACAACAAAAACACGTTACCGAGCCGCTTTCGCATGCTCTCAATTGTGTAATTCGGCACCGTGTTGACCACAATCACGTAGAATTCTCTCATGTTCCATCAAATGCACGCGTTTCCGGATGCAAGCGCGGGCACAAATGATTTTTTGTTCATTCAAGAAGTGAGAAATTGCAGCACGTCATGCTACGTACTCACGATTATCAGCAACGATTATCCAGAAGTGTCACATGCAATGATATTGCTTGACTTGAGAAGCCTGACACGGCGCCTTTTTGGCACGTCTCGGCTGATCTTGGAGAAATGTCAGATGACGTCAGTCATGTCTGGGTCTCGAGTCCGCCAAGTAAATGTCGTGGGTCGGGCCGGCCAGAGTGAGAAGAGTTTGTTATCGTTCTACTGACTGCGTCTGACGTCAAGAATGTGTACCCATCTACCGTAAGCACCACGAAGAAAGCCGATGCTTTTGTTGTCACTAGCCTGCAGCTCTTTTGAGTAAACGCATAAGTCTGTTGAGGCGTACAGATTTTGACTTGTTTCGTCGGCGTGGGTAGCCTACTATTTTGACTTACTCGGGCGTGCAACGTCCTTCTAGACTAGCTGCAGCTTTTCGAACGGTCGAACGGTCCTACCGTAAGCTCTGCGCGTGGTGTAACTTTGACGAATCAGTGTACTTTGAACGTAATCTGCAAACCGTTGCCGAAAGTGGACTAGTACACTTCCTGTAAGGGGACCCTTCAAAAGGGAAATATACCATGTCTACAAGGACGAACTCAGCCACAATTGTTGGGCCGAACCTTATATGCAAATTCCTATATTTTTGGTACTAGTGACGCCGTTGCGGACGTAATATCTCTCACTGCGGATTCGAGACCTTTGGTCACAGTCTGTGTCAGGCTCGATTTACCATGACGAATTGGCCGGAGTATTGCCGTCGCTTAATCTCAAACGAGTCATGCCTTGATCAAGTTTATATAAGTGTTCCCCCGCAGTGGGCACTGCTCCCGCATAAGCTATACCTCGGGGGCGGTCACGCGCTCGTGGGCTTCCCTCCCGGCCGCTGCCATAGCTTATGAGTCTCGGGGTAAAGCGTAACGTTCCATTTATGCCGCCGGTGCCGAATCTCCCTGTCTTGCTGCGCCACCCGGTTGGGGTCCACGCTGCTGACGTGGGCCACGTCCATGATGGCCAGTTTCGGGTACGCCACGCGCACGATCGTGCCGTTCACTGCACCACACGTGGCAGAGGGTGACGTCAGGACTTGAAGTTAGCCGCCTAGAACTTTCATGACAAGCAGGGAGGAACCCAGTTCCGAGAGACTTTTATATCAGATCTCCGGCAGTAGAAAAGCTGAACGTGACGTAGAGATCCGGGAAGACGCAGAAACAGAGCAGCAGTAACCCTGGCGGAGTACTTTCGGCGAACAACGGCAAACGCTGCCGTCCGCTTAGGATATCGTGAAGCGGCTTTTTGAGTCCAAAAAAAGTGTTGCCTGAAACTGAAATGAAACTCGAAAGTGGGCTCTCAAAGGGCTGGCTTCTCAGAAAGATGGAGGCTTGGTAGGATGCTGGGGAGTCAGTAAAGTCGACACAGTTTTCAACAAGCCCGTCGACTGGAAAGACTGGAAAGACGCTAGCGAAGTTCCAAATTGTTCCAGCCCTTGTTGTCTACATCACGCGGCTGCGACTGCGACTCCAGCAGCGTGTTGCTTTGAAAGTCGATCTCGTACGCACGCTTCCGACATTGCTGCAAAACGCCCACAAGTACCATTGCTCAGCCGGCTTGGATTCCAGAAGACCTGGTAAAACGGCCTCTGAAGGAAGCAATCGTGCGGCTTTGATAGCAGAGTTTAGTTTTGATTCCGGTGTCCTTACGTGTTATGTGCTTGAACACGTGGTCGAAGGGGAGGGATCCCCCGGCCAGCTGCCGGTTCGCCCAGTCAATCAGATATTGATACGTGTGCTGACTGTACAAAACGGCGAATGAGCCATACGATCGCAGATTGGCGTTATAACACAGCTTCCCCGACGCATCGTAAACTCTGTGCTGTATCTCGTCCTCGACCCAGTTCCACGTGTCGGCCCGCCATTCGCTGGCGCCCAGCTTCAGGATGCCGCCCCTGCGGGCAATACAATCTTGCTCGGAGTCAGCTCCAGCGTGTTTGCTTTGAATCTTAACGGGCCAGCCTAAATCATCCATCCAGGATTGAATCCTCTGTACAAGCAGAGTGGCAAGAAACTACCCATGAGCCTTTAACACTCTTGTGCAGGTCTCGGAAGAGCGTTTCACCGTTCTCCCACTACTAGAATTACCGGGCTGCGTTGCTGCCCTCAAGAAGTTAGCTTTGTCTAGTAGTCGTCTTTGTATCGTTCAGAATCAACGAGCGACCGGTTGAAAACCCGGTACAGAAAGAAGGCCTCACAGTCCCCCTCCATCAAGAATCCCTTTGGTGCAACAGCGAACGTCCATCCACAAAGAAACCGCGGAAAGGGATCGGTAAAAAGCAATGCCCTCAACGCAACCCCTCTTCCGGGTCGTTAAGAGGCGACCGGAAAGAGGGGTCAGCAAAAGCGAGGGCCTGACCCCACTTCTTCAACAAGAAGCCGCCGCACCGGTCGTTTTCACCGAGTACATGCTCCTTCGCTACCTACTTTATGGGTTGCACAAACCTTCACAAAGTGAGCGGCGACATTGGTTGATAAAAAAGGAGCACCTTCTCAGGAAGTCCGCGCATCAATCACTATTGTCTCTCCAGCAACTGACCAAGCGTGGCTTAGCAACGCCTTTTTCTTATACGCAATTGAAGAAATGGACTTGGGAAAAAGCCAAGGCCTTACATCCCCCCCCCCATCAAAAAATCCGTGCACCGATCGCTGCTCCTGAGTACGTGCTCCAGCCGCCGGCCGGATTCTTGGTGCAACAGCGAACCTCCATTCACAAGCGACCGAAGGAAGGGGTCGGTAGGAAGGATGCACTCAATCCGACCGCGAGAAGGGGGCTTTTAATCACAAGGGCCTTACCTTCCCTCCTCCATCAGAAACCCAGCACACCGGTCGCTGCTCCTGAGTATGTGCTCCAGCCGCCGGCCAAACTCTTGGTGCAACAGTGCATCGTCGTCGAACACCAGGAGCGCGCGCGCGCGCCGCTGCTGGGCGTCCGCCAACAGGTCCCGCATGGTCGCCAGATAGCCCACCTCGCCCGGCTTGAGCCGATAACCCGGGCGACCTGCATGCTAGCGTGCAAGATTTGTTCGTGTAAACTTCGAACCATGGGTTCGGGATTGCATTATGATTGTGGCCTAGTAGGCTGGACGCAGACAGAGACAGCTTTGAAATGGTGCGTTGCGGCGTTCTGGTCGCCTTATGCCAGCCATGTTTAATTCTCGCGACTTTAGCGGACTCCTCGCACATCCACCTCACACGACCTTGATCTGTGCCGTCAACAACACATGTGAGCATTCGAGCACCCACTGAAAAGCATCCGACGGCCAAAATACTCTGATCAGTCCCTTGGCAGACGGTGCACTCTCGAGCAGCAAAAGCCTGCAAGAATCAAAGAACCCACTTTCACGATAAGAGCGGTACCTACCGGGCGGGATCGGATCTCTCTTCTGGTCCAGCGCAGGCACGTAATCTGGTTTGCCCGGGGCCTCGGTGGCTCGGGAGCCGTACCAGGGGCTCACTTTGATCCCGTGGGCCGCGGCCGCGGCCGCGACTCGCTGCCAGCGCTCCTGTAGAAAACGAGGCGAATGCAACTGTAGGTCAATACTCACGGGCCGTAAACATGGTTTGGTCATCCAAGAACAATCGCATTCTTTATACTCCTGTACAAAGAGTGTTCGTTGCTGTCCAACCTTAACCTTCTCGTTGATGATTGGGAACGACAGGACAGGAGAGTTCTTTGGAGCGCTCGTTTAAAATGTGCGGCTGCCTTTGCGCGCTTAGTCGCACTTGTTTCGAAGACGAACTTTCCTCAATTTGTTTTCGGAGCCGATGCTGGGCTTCTTGATAATATTCGTGCAAGGAGGTGAATTCCAAGTCTTTGCCTCGATTAGTAGTTCGGGATCAACGGTAGAAGATCAAACTTTTGGTGGAGTTTGTATCGACCAAGCTTGGCAGGGACCACATCAGCGACTCGAATGCCACAAATTCCTGCCACCCACACTGTGAGAGTCCGTGTTCGTGGCCAGTAAAGTAAACAGACTTCGGCTGCCGGTTGTTCGAGGAAACTTGTTGTCAAGCGTCCTTGAGGATTTTATGGCGGACCAAAGAATTGCGTGCACGAGAAAGTGAAAACCAGCAGAAGTGAGTCAAAAGACGAAAGCTCGCTGGTTAACGATCTTAGATTGACGTGTTGCTTATTACCTGGCCAGGCAGTGTCAAGACATACGCCTCGAACCCATCCAGGAAGCCTTTGACACTTCCGCGCGCTCCGCTTTCCGGTGGGCACTCCCTCGGCCGGAAGTCCAGCTTCTCTCGGAACAGAGTGGAGTAGCCTCTCCGCTCCAAAATATCCTGACTAACCGCGATCGGATTAACGTGACACGCGGGTTTGGGAGCCCCGGCTCCCTGTAACACGACTTTGGTCGAGCTCACGACGCTAACCGTAGAGTTAACTACCTTGAGCACGGTTTGCTCAAATCCGCCCTCGACCACCAGCTGCCGGACTACGTGCTGACTTAGTGGGTTATGGCTTAACTCAAGGAAAAGTTTGACGAAATCCTCGAAGAAGTGTACATTTGACCCAAATCTCAGTTGCTCTAAATTGGGTAACCCTGGAGCGTCTAGAAACAGCTTTCGGCGGCCGTTTGCTGCTTCGTCCGGTGCTGACGTCAGCAGCAACGAAAGCGCCGCTCTTCCTTCGGGCGTCAAGACGTTTTCAAACGTAATCCTAACGGCGTCGTAATAACCCAGGGTTTTTCTAATGGACGCAACTAAGTTGCTTAGGTTGACTGCAGGCAAAAGTTTCGGGGTAGCCCCCTGAGGGGCCACGGGGACCGCCCTGACGTCAGCGCTTCCCCAGCAGAGCGCAGAGTGTGGCAAACCCTTTGGTTTGTTCCCCTGGTTAGCGCTAACCCTAACGAGCGCCGGAGCACTTTCGGCTCGAATCGCCAGCTGGACGCTCCGTACGAACGTCCGGTTAAGCCCCGGTTTAGGCCTAACCTCCATCCTCGCACTCGACGTGGCCGCCCATTCCGCAGAGTCGCTCAGGATGACCCGTTGCTGAACGGAAACGGACTGGAGGTCAAATATTTCGCCGATTGGCACCACGTGGCAGTCTGCGGACTGGAGGTGCGCGAGCGAAGCCCCGTTTCGTGGGGAGGCCCTGTTGGCGCAGCCGCTGACTGAGACGTGGGAGGGCATAACGAAGGTGCGGTTCAAAAACAGGGCCTCGGTTAGGCCGCAGACGAGGCTGGAGTAGAGGCCGTCGAAGCCGGTCAGGCTTGAAAGGTGGATGTCTTCCCAATATAAGTACCTGCAAGCGGCAGAGAAACAGTATAGGTGATTGAGTAAGGCGTTGTTCGATCAAGAGCACTTCACATCTTTACAATCTCGTTGCCCAAACGCAAAAACAAAGAACCGACTAGTGCCAGGTTGCACAATCTGAAGAACCGGGCTGCGTTACACAGCTTCTCCATCGTTTCCTTGCACGGGCACGACACAAGGAGAATCCCACCATGGCATGGACAAAGTCTTTGCTAAGAAAAAATCCCCATTCGAAAACACAAACTTTCCATCACTTAGATGTTGGCGGCCGAAGACGAAGCCGTGCTTGACCTTCTGCGCAAATACCCGAACAGCCCACAGGAAAACGTCGCATGCAATCTCGCTAGCTCTGACACAGCTCTTACGCCGTACTAAATCAAACATGTCGCACCACATCTGCTGACGTCCCTTCAAAAGCTCACCTGGCCTTCTCCGTCACTTCCCGCATCTGCCGCCGCACGCTCTCCACGTGATCCGTCAGAAACCCCGGCGCACGCGGTTTCACAGGGTGCAGGCTGATCGCACCGGCGAGGGGGGGTGGGAGCACCGCCGGAACGACCCCCTGTTTCTTTCTCGCGGGCCCATCGTCACCCGTGACGTAATACTGCACGAAGAGCTTCTTGAGGTCCCAGTGAGTGTACGGCTCCGCCTCGCAGCCGATGCCCACGTGGCGCGCCACGCACCGTCCGATCTCCGTGTCGGAGTGCTCGCTCGCCCAGTCGGCCTTGCAGGCCGCCACGTGGGGGCCCATGGCCGCGAGCGCGCGCGCGTTGAGGAGGTAGCCGGGGCCGCCCAGGCAGTACGGGATGACGTCACCGTATCTGCATGGGAAGGTCCCAGGAAGTTCTGGACGCTTGACAGAACGGCAAGTTCCTTCATCCGGAACAGCGTGCTCTTATGAAACTCAGCGTGCCGTATCGTTGCGACGTATACTGCTAGTAATTAAAACAACGCCTAACGGCCCCCTTGCCTCGGAAGCCAGCAGATGAAGGGGAATAGAGACGAGCTTTGAGTTGCGAACACCTCAAAAATGAACCTCGGAATAGACACCTCCTCGCAGTCGGAAGAGGGCCGCTAAATTTTGCTGTCCTTTCCCGGAGCAGCCGGCACTTCCAGAACGGTTTAAAGCAGGCAAACGCTTCACAAGCATCTTCGACATGACATGTCTCGTTACATTGCGTTCGAGCAAGATCCAAAACGAAAGGAAAGGGGGACGAAGTGGTCAACACATGAGGGTAAGGTACCCAACGACGACGCTGCAACAAGCAGTGTCAAATTTAGACCGTAGACGACTTCGACAACAGATGTCGCTTGAAAATTCCGTCCTACTTTGATCCATACAGAATCCAGACCACACAGGATTTCTGATGTCTAACAAGCTCGTATGGAAATTTTTTTGTCAACTCACTTTCCGAGGGGTAACCCGAGCTTGTGCCCCTGCCGGTCGCTCGGCCGCCCCTGCCCAGGGGCGCCCACGTAGAGCGGTCGGTTGGACCTCCCGGCCGCCGAAAAGCCGTGCAGAAAAGCCCGCAATCTGCCCGGTTCCACGTACGTGTCATCGTCGAGATGCATGAACCAGTCAAAGGCCCCCTGGAATTGCTGGTGTAAATACTCCCACATCGCGAGGTCCTTGAGTCGGGGAGGGTACTCGTCGCTGCAGAATGGGCGGCAAATGAAACATAACGGAAAGCAGTTGGGTACTGTACTATATCTGAGGTCAGGGTCGAGCCGAATGGCTGAGGGTTGATCTTCGAGAGCGAACAAGGTCAAGAATCAGCTTTTAACTGCACGTGGCACGATTCTATTTTAGCAAGCCCGGTCCTCGGAGTCCCACACTTCGAGCGCAGGAGGGAAATGACTCATCATTTGGCCTCCTCTGAGGCTTCTCAATAACGAGGCCTATGCAATCCCCATACGCCTCTTGTGTCGTAGTCCACTGAACGAAGTGTTCCGTCTCAACGGACAGAAGCAAACAGACGGTCCAACAGAACATCCTCGCGGCGCTAAAACCATAAGTCTGGATGAAAGAAAGAACTTCGTACTCACCTGACGTTCAGCCAGACTAAACGAATGCCCCCGTGCGCGCGTGCGAGCGCGTGCGCGCTCTCGTTGCTCGTGCTGTTGCCTACGAACACGATGACGTCAGCGTGCGGCGCCAGGACCGAGTAGAGCGGCACGAGGCGCTCGCGGAACTGCGACTCGGTCGCCGTCGAGAGCACGCCGATCAGGAGCGTCACGGGGGCGTCCGGGCTTGGGACTGCGGACGGACGTCCGGCGAGCTTCTGGACAACGGCGACCTGCGGGGGGGGGTTGTGAGGGGCTTAATATCTTCGAGGAACTGCGACTCGGTCGCCGTCGAGAGGACGCCGATCGGGAGCGTTATCGAATTGGGGGCCGCAGACGGCGGTCCGGCGAGCTCCCGGACAGCGGCGACCTGCAGGTGAAGGTTACCGGTGTTACGGGCTGTTAGGGTCACTAAATGAATCACGCTTGGTCGCCGTAGAGAGCACGCCGATCAGGGTCCGTCACGGGGGCGTCAAGGTTCGGGACTGCGGACGGCCGTCCGGCGAGCTTGCCAACAACGGCGACCTGCGGATGGAGATTACGGGCTCTTAGGGTGTCAAGGAAATTACTTTCGGTCGTCGTCGACAGAACGGCGATCATGAGCGTCACGGGGGCGTCCGGATTTAGGGCCGCGGACGGCCGTCCGGCGAGCTTCTCGGACAACGGCGACCTGCGGATGGAGGTTTAATGGGCTATTAGGGTGTTAAGGAAAAAATTCTCGGTCGCCGTCGAGAGCACGCCGATCAGGAGCGTCACGGGGGCGTCCGGGCTCGCAGCCAAGGATGAACGTCGGCGGCTTTCGGACACTGGCGACCTGCGGATGTAAATTTGGGGTGTTTTGGTCGCAAAGAAATTGCAAACGGTTCCCGTCAAGAGCACGCCGATCAGGACCGTCGCATGGGGAACGGGGCCGCAAACGGCCGTCGGGCGGGTATTCAGATGCTTGCAATCCGCGATATCAGTTCTCAGAGCAAATAGTACGCGGTGTTCAAAGCGGGTTTAATGTTACTGTCCGCAAAAGCTCCCCAACCATGAGGTTGATACGGATAAGCTGCGAGATTTTACGATCTCAAAGCGACTTTGCGTCGGTAGTCGACAACGAGCTGGCCATGACCTTGGTGGGGCCGTCCGAGCTCAAGCCCCTGGACGATCAGGAGTCCTTGGATGAGACTTCTTTGAGTCCGCAGTCGCAAATTCGGAGCGTTAGGGAATGCTGTCGTGTCCAGATAGACTAACAGGATCTTTCAAGAAAGCCGTTGTTTGTACAGAAACAGATTAAAAGCACCCATTCCTTTAAAAGCCCGCGAACAGCCTGAGAGCACGCCTTCATTTCTTTTGTCATTATCATTCTTCGGCGCTCAAGCAAAAGCAATAAGAGTCTCCACCCTCTTCCTCTCACATCTCAGAAAGTAACACCGTTACTGAACCTGCAACGTGATATCTGTACAATGCGCCACGACACTATACAACAAAGAAGAAGAAATGCAAAACCGCAGTGGCATCAGAATTGCTGCTTTTGGCTAATCGTTCCGTGGCAAGAAGGAAGCATGCGTTCCGGTTCACGTCGAAGACAGGAGACTTTCACCTCCTTTCAACCCCAGGATTGCAGATGGTATATTATGGTCCCAAAGCCACTCATGCCCAACATCGAAGCTGCTGAAACAGAGTGAATATAATAGAGATGGCTCTGCCAAGGGAACGGTCTGGAGCTCAATTACATCCCAATCTCTGCCAGAGACACTCGTTTGACTTGGGTCGGATTGTCTCACGCCGAACCCCACTACTCTCTTTTCAGTCTGAAAAGAAAGAGCGCTTCTCTTATGTCTTGAGAGACTGCAACTCAGGCGCGCCTACATTGTAAAGCCAAGAACTACACGAGTTTTTGGTACTTCACCAGGGATGGTTCTGGGCTGAGAATGGGCTGGTAAGAAAGTGGTTATACATCTGATAAACAGACCTGGGCGGAAGCCCAACCTTGGAACAAGGTTAAACCCACTGTTAATTGTCCAATAACCTGAGAATTAAGTCTGGTTATCAATCTGGTTAGCAGCCAAAACTTCCACTTCGGACGCACTAACCTGAGACTCGAGCATCTGCTGGCTGGCTGGCAGCCTCAGACTCAGCGCATCGAGTGCCAACAGCGCCGTCCCCCCCCCGCGATTGCGAAACTCGAGCCCCGCCCACAATTGCCACTCGAGGCCCCTGAATGCAACGCCGACCTCAGCCCAGCCCTCCGTCAGTCGAACCTCCACCTCCCCCCCTTTCACAACGTGAAACCTCCTCTTGTCCCACGAATGTAGTACCAACTCAAATGGCGACAAACCTGAGCCGCGCAGGCGTAAGGCCACCCCTATGATACTGGGGAACGCGTCGTTCGATTCTAGCAGGAGAGACGAGCCCCCCGGAACAGAAACCTGCAGCGGTCCCACCAGGCTCGTCTCTAGTTGCTGCCCCCCCTGAAGGAAATACCGCCAGCCGTCGGCAAGCGTACCCCCCCGATAAACGGTGCGCTCCGCAACGTTGCCCTCGGAGCAGCACTCGGCGCCCTCGTCCCGACACCCGAAGAGCGCAAAGCGGGGGTGGATGGTGGCGAGACACTTGAGCAACACGACGCACAACAACACTAACCAAAAAAGACGGCAGCTGCGCCGGGCGCGGGACTCGTGCCTCGCCGTTTTGGGGGGGTCTGTCGCCAGGTGTTCCAGGGGGGGGATGCCGTAGTGAACCAGGCGGCCCGAGGCGCTTAAGCTGCGGGGGAAGCCCCTTTTGCGGGAGACCTTAACAGCGATCGAGGTCCACACCGACAAATCTCGAAGTGGGGGGGACTCAGACATACTGGCGCGCATGGTGTCTTGGCCTCTGAGCTGGGGCAATGGGATGTACTGTTTCTAGTCAGGGGGGTGCCTCATGCGGTGGTTGTTGGCGTAATAGCTAGGAGGGCCATGGGACATGACATGCTGATGGTGACAAAGAGGGTGGTTAGAAGGTTTGGTTGACTGCTTTGAGCGAACAGCAAAAGGTGTGCTTTTGACTTGAAGTGATAAACCAGCGTCAGGAGAGACACAAAACCTGCTGCTTTTTGCTCATGACATCCCTCAGCCTCAGATCTTGATCAAACTGCAGCTTCTATGCTAGGTTGAAGTGTACACATTGTTGACATTGCTGCCAAAATCTTCCTCTGGCCCGAGACGCCGTACTGAGAGAGCCGCCTGAGCTGCGCGAGGGGTGCCCCTGACCTCAGCAAAGCGCCCCACTTTGTGATCTGCAAAGATCCCGCCTTGGCAATCAACCTCCTACATTGGCCGCCAAAGAACCCTGTGCCGACACTTTCGTGATTGGGTGCTTCATTCTTCCTCGTTGGTATGTGTGCTAGAGCCACCGACATGATGGGGCCGTGAGCACAATGCTACCACTAGATCAGTGGTGCGTAGACGATAATATTGGAATCTGCTCTAGTGATCACGCTTGGAGGCCGTCGGCCCGGCCCCGCGGCGTCGGAGAGATCGTTTCACACCACAGATCTGCCAGCAGATGTGCGACTATGTTAGAGTACCGTTGTCATCCAAAGATGTACATTGGGATCTGCTACCTGCAGATCCGGTGAGGATTTTGACATCAATGCTTTCGTCCAAGGTTGGGTCAAGCGCCATGGCATGTCAAGTGTTGAGCTGACGCCTATGTTGTTGATTTGAATGCTGGCCCCCGCCAGACTTGAACGCCATCTTCTAGCGAGGGAGCTCGAAGAAGGTCGCGTCTTCCGAGACCAGTATGTGTGGGACCGCACCAGTGTACAACAACCACTGAAAAGTACTGCGCAGTACGGTACAGCTACAGGTCCAGGGTTCCTTCGGTACTTTTAAGTATTATGGTCCTGCCGGCCGCAGTACGTACTCCGAGTCCAATGCAGTTCTTCGGAACAGTGAACACTCGATAAAATTGGACAGTATTAACCCTTTAACAGCGGCTGTTGCCTTTTGTTGCCCTTCGTAACACCACCCCTAGAAACGTGTCCAAGAGCCCTCAAAAAAAGCCCGATGACCCTAGCACTTGAAGATAGTGTGTCAAAGACCCAAAACAAAAACATAAAAAAAAGATTCGAAAATATTTCGGGGGGTTCGGGCCCCGTAGGAACTGGGACCCCCAGTACGCCTTGTTGCCCTAAGCAACATGACTGCCGGCTGACAACAACCGGGCAACAGCGAGGCGTGATCAAGCCGGAGGTGCAGGGGTAAACTTTGCCAAGGGTCCCGGCCCCCGGGACCCCGGTGCATGGAGGAGGCGCCCGGGTGCGGCTGGTGACGTCATGCTTTAGGTTGTTGCCATGTGGCAGTCATCGCAACGCAGGGCAACAAACGGGACTCCATCTCACCGTTGGTACATGGCAGGTGACCAGAGGGCAAAACAGCAACAACGGGGCCCTCGCCGCCACTCCACGGGCAGTCGAGAGGGAGCCTGCAGGTGCAGGCCTCCGTTATCTTGTTGCCTTTCTACCAGGCAAAATGGTCAAAAGGGCAACAATAGGAATGGGGCCTAGAAGGCAACAGACTGGCTGCAGACTCGAATACTTAAGCAAAATGTAGAATGCCAGGGAAGCAACAGAGAGGCCCCGTTTCTGCAGAGCTTGCAAATGAGGAGAGCGCGGCGCGGCGCGCCAGCCGCCCGGCTGGCGATCTGGCTAAAATGGATAATATATAGCAACATGTATGGGTTTTGAGGCCGGCAACGCCTGGCTCAGCCTGGCTACCAGCAGTAGCAACAGACTGAAAGAAAAGCAACACTGGCAATAGGTACTCGGCTAGGAAAACCCTGTATGAGATACCATAAGCGAGAAAGCCAACATACAATAGCATATTACCCGAAACTAATACCTATGTAGTGGTACGTTGCCCTTATATTGACGTGTTGCCATTCCCAGCAACAGGGGCAACAGCAGCATCGGGGCAACGGGGCCTTCCAAAGATTGGCAAAGGTAGACCTGTCGAGTGAAATCAATAGTCTGACCTGAAAGGCCTCGTAGAAGCAGGTTACCGCAGCGCCTGCAAGCCGCCCCGCCGTGGTCGGAAGCTCCGGACCCGGAGTCCGAATGCGTCAAAGTTCAAACCGTCATCGACCGGCGTGCCGGACCGTCAAATTTTATGACCCGCGCCGTTCGATCGCACGAGGCCGGCCGATCGTACGGTTCGCTCGATTTTTGCGATTATCGATAAATTCGATTACGGCGGTTTTGACGGGAAATTCCCCGCTGTTAAAGGGTTAATACGTGCTCGTGCCCGCCGTGCTTCGCGCAGTCATGTCGCACACAAAGCGAATCCAACTGTCGGCGACATGTTCGGTCATGTGGATCACGTGTCACGCTCAATCCGAGGGGTAGGTACCTACACCTTTCAATGTAATTTCGAAAACTTGAACGCGCGCTTCGTACGCGTACGGTGCCGCCCCTGCCGACGAGATTTGGTAGTGTATTGCAAGAATAAGGTCCGCGACTCCGCGCCACAATTAACCGGGCACAGATAGTGACTCGCTGGTCAGTCATTGCGTCAGTCCAGCACCCAGGCCAGTTGGAGCAACCCATCGTCGGTTCTACTTTAACGAATCTGACCTGCGATCCACACCGGTTGACGTGCATTGACTGGCCGGTTTGCGTTCCCCTCTGCTCCTGTGAAAGACGGTGGGCGTAGGCGTCACGCCGGCGGCATGGCCGAGGCGTGACGACGGCACAAGTTAGGCAAGCGAGCATCGTCCGATAAATTCAACTCGTGGCTTTCTGCCGTCCGATTTGAAATGCACGGGCGAGTGCATACCCCCACTTCAAAGTTTATTAAGCAGATCCATGCCAGTGCTTGCCACGAACCGGTGTTTTAAAGCTGGACCTGGCCGGCAGAAATAACAGATGCACCGGTGCCGAAGGCACCCCACCGGCTGGACAGCCGGCAAAAAATGCTGTGGGTCTTGGGAAAACCGGCGCCCGGTGCTTTAGCCCGCGCGGCCAGCCGGTAGAAATGTAGGAGGGCCGGTAGACAGCCGGCACCGGTGAAAGTTGGTGGCAAAGCACTGAAATCTGCCATGCACGGTGCACCACTGGCACCAATGAGTCTGACCGTCGCAGTTGATGCTCGCAAGCAGGTGAACGTCAGACGCTGATGGTGGTCGCGAATCTGCAGAGCGCCAGCAAGAGGCAGGCTGTGTCCCCGCTCTCGTCTTTGCCATTGGAGCAATCTGTAAGGCAGCCAATATCTCTCAGCTTTGGATGTCCGCAGGTCTTCCGGAGGCCATCATCCTTGAGTACACAGAAGCCCCACACCTGTGAGAAAGGCAGGACAAACCCTAAATTTGCGCTTCAGAAGGTTGCCGGCCGCCGGAGCTTGAAAATCTTCTCATCAATCGACACTGGTGTGCTTTCTCCATCAGAAGAAGCCGCCATGGCCGTGAATGTAGTGTCGCCGAGCTCAGCGGGCGACATCATCAAGTCGGCTGAGGATAAGAAACTCTATAGAAGGCTAGTTCTGGACAACGGGCTGACAGTTGTCTTGATTCACGATCCGGAGATGGCTGAGAAGCTTGCAGACCCTGCGGCAGATCGCAACGGAGAGTCTGTCGAAGAATCGGAGGAGGCTGACTCAGACGAAGATGAAGATGGTGAGTCTTTGGACAGTGCTGCCGTCCGCAGCTTCAGTTAGCCTGCTGTGTTCGCAAAATGCTGCCGGAAAGATTAGGGCTCAGACATTTACTACGAGGGTTGTTCATAGTCCTGTATCATGGTAATGGGTAATGGTCTTTTGAACAAGTCCAGTCTGTGGTCAATGAAACACCACCACTTTACCTGCGGATGTCTGCAACCAAGTCTTTGGAAACTGATTGCCAAGGTTTTTCCTGTTCCGGTTGATTGAAATAGGGGGTGGTGCAATTATCATTGGACTGATTCAATGTCTTTCGTAAGCCCCGATTGGATATGACCACTTTTGGAGTATAGTCGCAGAGAATATCAGCATGCACATCTTAAACAAAACTTCACCGGGGGTCAGTATGTATTGTCTTGTTGTGAACACCAGCATATGGCGCTTTAACTAGTTGTGTACTTTTTCTTGGTCCTAACGTAAACAACGTGTATCCTTCAATACACACGTTTCCTTTAGGATCCGTTTGTTTCTCATCTTTAGGAGAAATGGTGCCTTGTATGCTTGTTTGTTTTGCCTCTCATGTGGAGTTTCACCACCGCCTGAATGTTTGCAGATTTATAGTTGTTTCTGATGTTCTTTGGACACTTGTAGAAATCCATCTGAGTCCAAACATCAGAAATTTTCTAGATCGAAGGTCCAATCAGTGTAGACGAGAAAGATCGGGAAACAGGCCTAAGGGTTGCTCAAGTCTCGATGGGAGTGTGCTCCAACATCATCACGTTAAGCTGCTTAGGGTCTCCTAGCTTGTTGTAGGTACAACTTCTTTCAGCAACTTGGTCTGGCCTGTACTGAGTGCTTTCTTACGCTCCTGCGATTGCTGTAAGCACGGGTTTCAAAACCACGGACAGAAGATGGCTTCGGTTGCAACGTTGTCTGCCAGAACTTGAGATCGGCACTTTCGTTGACAGAGATACGTTGATTTGGCTTGATGATGGAAACCGCATCGGCACTCGCTGGCCTGTGTCCAACACTGTGTGCACTTTCGCAGACAACGAGTGGGAAAGTGACGAGGATGAAATGGACGATGATGAGTCTGGATCGGACGAGGAGGCCGGCGAGGGGGATAAGAAGAAGGAGGGGCACGGCGGAGCGTCAAAAAAGGTAATTGCCTTTTCGGGAGGAATGAAATTGACGAAGCTACGGGCTTGGACAGCGAGGTTGTTTGCCAGAAACGTCTCTTCTTTGTCTTCAGACCTTTTGCGTTTGGTGTTTGCAAAGTTAAGGCATTATTATTTTGCCACACGTTTGAAGGAACCTGTGGAAGCGTTTATCTTTCGATGGCTTTGCTCTAGAGCAGCATTTCGTCCTATCTGTTAACATGGAAGACCGGCCAGTGCATGCATTTGGCAGTATGTCACCAAGTGCCATTTATCTATCTGCTGTGAACCCTGAAATCCCTGTGTTCTTCTTGAAAGTTCTCGGTAGACCTCCGCTTGGCCTTCTTTCTACGGTAGTCTTTTTCTTGATCTGGTGATGACAACGTCGGCTCTTGGCTTGCACTGCAGGCTGCGGCAGCCATGTGCGTTGGCGTGGGGAGCTTCTCAGACCCCATGGAGGCGCAGGGTCTCGCTCACTTTCTAGGTTGGTGACTTGAACAACAGAAAGTCTGGGACAGCTTACTGCACCGTTTGGGTTACATTCGAAGCAATACAGAGCCTCCAAAGAGTTAATTGCGAACTGTGTGGTTGAAAGGGAAGCTGACGACATTATAGTGGGTCCAAACGAATCAGTGGTCTCCGGTTCAGCGACATCTATGCAAGGTGGTGTGCGGAAAGGCAAGCCAACGGCAGTATTGTTGGCAGCTGTTGAGGTTCGTCAGCGAGGTGCGGCGTTGGTCTGATGATGCCTTTCATCTCGCTTCCTGCAGAGCACATGCTATTCATGGGCAGCCAGAAGTTCCCTGACGAGAACGAGGTGAGAGCCGTTGTGCAACCCCCTTTGCCACTTGACATCTTGCGTCTTCACTACTCCAAGAAACGGCTGGCGCGGGATGTGTTTGGAAAGTTTTCTGATAGCCCGGTCACTTGTGAGCAGTTTGACTCTCCAATCGTCCTTGTATTGCGAGATTTCATAGAGAAGGGTTCTTGGTGACCCTCCTCATCCACAGAGCTCGTTTCTGCCCGAGTCGCCTTTTTCCTCGGGCCCTTTCAAATCGGAAATCTCCATTCTACTACCTTGAGACGTATATTCTTTCTCCATAACGCCCAATTCTTTTCATTGCAGTACGACTCATATTTGTCCAAGCACGGGGGAGGCTCGAACGCATTCACAGAGGCTGAGTACACCTGCTTCCACTTCGATGTGAATAGGCGCTTCCTGCAGGGTGCGCTCGACAGGTGAGCCTTTGGGGCCACAGGATCGGCTTTGCAGCCCTAGTGAGAGGACTGGTAGGAAACCTGAAGCAGATTGTCATGAAATGCCCTTCGAAGCCTGGCAACACCCCTCAGAAACAGGCCCCTTCTCATCAGAAGTGAGCCGACATGGTCTCAGCTCGCATCGTCTGCCAACGGCTTCAATGCGCAGGCTCTGCTCAAGTTTCCACTTTTGGAGACCGCAGCTTGTGCGGAACTCGCTGACGTCAGGCGGACATCATCCGTTGGTTCCCTCTTAGGTTCGCCCAGTTTTTCATCAACCCGCTGGCCAAGGTGGAGGCAATGGACCGGGAAGTGCAGTCGGTTGACTCAGGTGAGGCATTTCAGAAAGAGTAGGTTTGGGGTCAATTGCGATCCTTACGAACGGATACAATGGCTTCATTTGATGACGCGAATTGGGAAGTAGATACGTGGTGCACCTTTCAGCTGGAGTTGAACTGTAGATGCTTCTACCTTGAACAGAGAGGCGAGGCTGGTTCATTGATCGAGCAGTCTCACTGAAACCACTTACGGCTTTCTATGCTGGTTGGATCTTCTCATCATTCTTGATCTTTGGATTCAGAGGGCCAGTTCTCAAGCGAGGCTCTCTGTTCCGCTTTTCAGAGGCCGGTGCGCAATGCAGAATACGCAACCCTGACAAAAGTTTGACTTTTGCGTTGAAACAATCTTGGCAGGATTCAGGGTCTCTTATTTTGGAACCCAGAGAGTCGGTTCTTGGCTGCAGAGTTCAATTCAGGCGCAATTTCCCCGCAAACGCCGATCGTGCTCAACAAGCGCTGAAGATTTCTAGATCGTAATCTTTCAGGAACTCAGAAACTTTGTTTCTCCGCTGCAGAGTTCAACCAGGTGCTACAGGACGACAACGCGCGCCTCCAGCAGCTGCACTGCTCCACCGCTGACGTCAGCCACCCGTTCCACAAGTTCATGTGGGGCAACAAGAAGAGCCTCAGCGGGGGGGAGGGCACGGGGGGGCCCGACATGCGCTCGCTGCTCATGAAGCTGTACCTGGAGCACTACCGGGCGGATCGGATGCACTTGGCGGTGCTCGGGGGGGGTGAGAAGCGCTATCTTTCACCTGAGATGGGGTTTTCTTGCACTTTCTGATTGTTAATGTGCTCAGGCTTGGTATGTGATCCCGTTAGCTTTTCTGTTGTAACATTCTCCACATCTTGGTATTGATTTAACGGAGCTGAAGCACTATCGTGCTGATCCAATGCACTTGGCTGTGCTGGGGGGTGCTGAGGAGTGCAGAAATTTCATCCCAGAAAGCAGTGTTGTGCGGTAGTATAAAGTCGTGTTGCGGATTTGCGTCTTCACACGTGCGTTGAGACGCTTGCGTTGGTCCAGATATCGTCGTTCAAGTAAAGACGGCCGCCAGAGCATACAGTTGCTTGTGTCATGCATTTCTTCGTTTGGAGCGGCGTCTCTCTCAGATGTATACTTCAACGACAAGACCTTCTGTCTTTCAAACCTGGTCTTGGTATGCGGTGGAGTTTCCAGCTTCCGGTGCGTTACAAGTAGTGCTGCTTTCGGTATGTAATGCTCCTGATCCACGTTGGATATCAACGCTTCCCGTCTTTATACAATATTTGGATGAGCTCTTACGTTTACAGTATTACGCTTACAGTAAATGCAGACCTTCTTTTAACCAACTGTGCGCCTCGGCAGACTCGCTCGACACACTGGAGGAATGGGTGACAAAGCTCTTCAGCCCCATCCGCGGGCAGGGGGGTCCCCGCCCCAGCTTTTTGCCGCCCCCTGGCGCACCCCCGGCGTACCAACCGGGGCTCCTGTACAAAGTCGAATCGGTGCGAGACCAGAACCTGCTTTCGCTGACGTGGCAGCTTCCCTGCTTGGACGCGCACTACCAGGCCAAGCCGGCAGACTACGTCTCGCACCTGATAGGGCATGGTGAGCCTTCCAATGGGTTGCTGCCAAGTGGCAGTCGTTTTCTTGGACGGTCGTGTGGTTGTCTCCCGGCGTGACGAGCCGCCCAGACGTAATGCTCGAACGCTTGGGCTGGGCCTTGTCTCTTCAAACAGGTTCGTAAAGCGCTGCAACGGGGTATGGATCCTTTGCCCCGAGGTCCGCTTTCGTTGAGTTTGCACGGCTTTTCTTATCTCGGGCTCTTTCGGTAGTCACCGTCAATAAGGCGTGACAGCTGGACACGTATCGGGCAGCCTATACATGCCTTTTAAAACCTTCCCCCGTAAGGAATACAAAACCACACTACACACGGCGTAAACAGACTACGCAAACTGAATCATTCGCTCAAAGGTTTGCCGCTCCATACATCTGCTGTTCCAACTTGGTCCTTCCGGTCGCTTAAACTGCTTGAGCGACAGGTCTACTGAAAGCCGTGGGGCATTCGAACGACTATCCAAGAGTTGTTTGAGCTCGACCCCAACCAGCTCCCCTTTGGAGAGGTCCGCTAACCCGGGTTTCGATTTCGCTGAAACTTTTGTCGTGACCCGTGCTCTCCATTATCGCAGAGGGCGCTGGGAGCTTGCTCTCGTTGCTGAAGGCCAAGGGGTGGGCCACCGGTTTGTCGGCAGGAGTGGGGGATGGGGGCCTCGATCGGAGCACTGCCTGCTACATGTTTGAAGCGCACATCTGGCTGTCGGTGCTCGGGTTGGAAAAGGTGAGACACCTGTCCTAAGTGTGCTGCTGTATGCGTGTATGGATCCCCCTCGCAGAAGGTTTGCTGGCCCTTCCTGGCTGGGAGAAGCTTCCGGAAGAGAAGGAATGTTATGTGGGCCTTTTCGAAGAGGCATTGGTTCTTGCTTTGTCATGGATTGTTCTTCTGCTCCGGCACTTGACGTCCGTTCTTTCATATCTTGCGAGTGTGACGCATCAGACTGCTATACCACAAGATTGCTTGTTACTGCCTCGACCGTTCCAATCGTTGTGTGCAGGAGCGCAAACAAAAAATACGAGGTCATCAGACTGCTGTACTTGACTTCTGATCATTTCAACGCCCCTAGCGAGAAAACTAAGTCCTTCTTGTCGCATTTCGTGAACCAGACGAGCCCTCTTAGTGACGTCAACATCGCTCATTTCCGCAGGTGTATGACGTCATCGGGCTATTGTACCAGTACGTTGCGATGCTGCGGCGGGAGGGCCCCCAGGAGTGGGTGTTCCGGGAGCTGCAGGCGATTGCGGAGATGGACTTCCGGTTTGCGGAGGAACGAGAGGCGGAGGACTGTGTTGTATCCGTTGCACGTGAGTCCATTGTGGCCTACCTTTGAATCTGGAACGCGGTTCGAGCTCGTTTCAACTTTGTAGGCTTGCTCGGGAGTTGCTTTCATCGCAATCATAAAGAAACAATAATAAAGAGGTTCTCATTCTAGGCGCGGCAAACGACTCGGTGCCCATTGGCATCACCCCTGAAATGATTACTTGGCAGAAAGCGCGCTTCATGAGACGGCTTTGGGAAGTTGTTCAGAGTGCATCATGCATGACCATGATGATGCATGATCATGCATGACATGCTGAAAGTTGCATACAGCGGAAAGGATTGGGTTTGTTTGAGGTGTTGATGATGATTGGTCCTGGTTATCACACCTGATTATAGCTTTCGGAAGGGGTTTCAGGATAATTTGGGGGCAGGAATTTCAACGGGATCATTGGAAACCGAAGCAAGAGCTCAAGAGAGTTTCAGAAAGGAATGCAGACGGTATTGCTTGTATTCATTGACCTCAAAAGTGGGATGGTGGCCACAGACATTGCAAGCCTGCGCTGCCCCAATAACACCTTCTCGTCATCCGAAGAGCACTTCTTGCAGGTGCTTTCATAGCGCTTCTCATATCACCAGGAGCAACGAGATTTAAGCTAAGTTCACATTCATTGCAGACAACATGAGCTTGTACCAACCGGAGCACACCCTCTACGGCGACTACATCTACCGCGACTGGGATCCTCGCCTGGTGACGGACGTTTTGGACCGTCTGACGCCGTCCAACATGCGCGTCGACATCGTCACCCAGCACTTTGATGCCAGCGCGCCAGGTGGGTTTGGCTAACCCACATGTGAAGCAGGCTGCTAACCCCTCGGTCAGAGGGTAGGACAATGAATGCAGTCGGATCCGGAGACTGCGTTGTGGTAAAAGAGTGCGAACGGCATTGCACGGAAGGGCTCAGGCCTGGATTGTGGTCGTTAGCTCATAAAAGTCGTTTCGTCATCATGTGATGCTTCAAAAATCTCCATCTCGAGAATTCGACACATTCAGCGATGTTCTTATTTCAGTTTCGGGTCTGCGACTCTGGTCACGGATGACAAGCCCTATCTCAGATTTCATCATCCCTTGGCATTCAACACAAATTGATGCACTACCTTGGCTTTTAATCCTGGGTACCCTCCTTTCCCAGGCGTCTTGAAGGAGCCATGGTTCGAGGTCCCCTACACCGTCGAACCCCTTCCAAACGACCTCCTCCAAACTTGGTCTCAGCCTCCGGGGGTCGATTCTGCGCTGAAGATGCCCCCCCGGAACGAGTACATTCCGCTCGACTTCTCCTTGAGAGCGGAAAAGGAACCCGAGAAGGCTGGGGCGAACGGGGCCGCCGCAGCCAACGGCGTGGGGGGACGAAAAGAGGGGAAAGTGGAACCCCCCGTGGTGATACACGAGGATGAGTCGCTCAAGTTATGGTGAGAGACGCACCTTGGATATGTCGGTTGAGGTGCAAAGGATTTGTAAATTTCGGTGGCATGATCCTGGTCTTTGATTCCTTCGCGCATGTTTTCTTCCGGAAGAAAGCTTGTGCCCTTTCATCGTAATCAACAAACACTCTACATGTCGCCAAAGTGCCCGCTTGCATTGCGCACAGACAATCTACGGTGTGAAGGAGGGCGTCAGCCGCACATAACATTTGTACGTCTGGCGAAAGCAACTTGGGACTTGCACCGAATATTTTTGCTCATTCACGCCTGCAGGTTCAAGCAGGACACTCAGTTCAAGACTCCGCGCGCCAACATGTACTTCTCCATCACGAGCCCCGTCGCCCATTCTTCCGTTGACAACTGTGTCATGACAGAATTGTTCGTAAAGCTGGTGGAAGATGCGCTCAACGAAACGCTCTACCTGGTGAGTGGCTTTTCCAGTGGGTTCTTGAATCTATGTTTGTGGGATATAGTACCAGCTTGTCTGCGAACTCTGTTACCGTTTGATATTCCAGCTTTTTGCCCTTGTTTTCATTGCTGTCATTTCGTACGCTTTGCCGTGCTGAATCTGGCTTCGACGTGCCTGAGAGAGAGACGTCTCAGAAAAGATGGTTTGGAACTTTGGATCCCTGCAACCCTCTGACCCTGATCGTGGGGCTGAATCGCAAAGCATCGTCCACCGTCTAACTCCGTTTTCAGAGAAGGGCAGACTCGAGATGAAGACTGATGTCATTCGGTTTGACCGCTCTGCTTTTCTTCCTATTCCGCCCGCCAGATAGTGTTAGCGACTCTTGAACTCTCGGTTGTCAAACTCGAAATAACGTTACGGCTGTCCATCAACAACATCAATGTGAACCTTCTTTGACACTTTAGCTCGGCAACTTCTAAGCTTGTAAGATACGTTGCGAACCCGAGAGACCCTTGAACCGTTAAAGAGTGATTCTTTTTCGCGCACAGGCGAACGTCGCCAAGCTGGACTCGTCAATCGCGATTCACGCGGACAAGTTTGAGCTACGGGTTGGCGGCTTCAGCGACAAACTTCTCAAGCTCGTGTCCAGACTGTTCACGGAGCTTCGGTGAGTCCCTCGCTCACTTTCTTCCAACGCTTTGCGAAGTTGCTCGATCATTATGACATTTGACGAGCTTGCATTGGGCTGCCCTGCTTTCCCCGTTCTTTCCAAAAGCTGTGAGACTCATGAATTCCACCTGTTCCCGAGCAGCGGGGATCCTTACGCACCGTCGCTACCCCCGCAGGCGCTTTGAGGTGCGGCCGGACCGGTTCTTGGTGATGCGCGAGGCGAGCGAGCGCGGGTACCGCAACGTCAACATGAAGCCGCTCAAGCACAGCGCGTACCTGCGTCTCGCGCTGCTCAAGGAGCGCCACTGGCCCTTCGAGGACCGGCTTGCGGCGCTTGGGCGAATCACCGCAGAGGACGTCCGAAAGTTCGTACCAAGCCTCTTCGAAAAGGTGAGTTAGTGATTATAGTTGGTCTGTTTCTGAGCATTGTGGTTCGTTCTGACCCCTTCAGAACGTTTGGAAGGAGCGCTCCTGGCCCTCTGAGGACCGCCTTGCGGTGCTCGGGCATATCACCACGGAGGGACGTCCGGAAGTTCGTACCCACGTTGTTCCAAAAGCATAGTACGTCCAAAATTTGCACCGGACCTGTTCGGAAAGGTCCGTTTCCAGTTATTTGTGGTCCGTTCCCGATAATGTTGGTCTATTTCATTCACTATGGGTCCTGCCTTGATTACTCAGGAGCGTTCGGAAATTGCTCTGTAGGTCAGAACATCTTTGAACGTAATGTTAGTTTCTGCGTCTCCTGACAAGAAGTTTCGAAGTATCAGGTGCGGTGTACACCCGTCAAAAGGGTGTGATTCCACCAGGTACCCGGTCGGAGACATTTCAAGGCCTCCGACCAGATTTGATGCGCTTGATGACGCCATCTTGAGAGTGAAGCTGACACAGAGCCAGTTAGAGCCCAGTCGGTCCAATTTCTGCCAGCTGTCAATCGGCTTCGCGTCCTTTTGTCTCAACCGACGCCGTCTCTGACACAGGGCGCTTCGCGCTTCGCGCCATTTGCAGACTGAAGCCGACTCAGAGTTAGATCAGCCCAGTCTTTCGCCAGCTGTCAAGCGCTTTCACGCCCTTTGACACACTGCTTTCCGGTTGACACCCACATCTTACTCACAGACCTTCGTCGAGGTGTTGGCGCACGGCAACCTGACCCGCAGCGAGGCTCTCCAACTCGTCGGCATCGTTAAGGAAGCGTTCCCCGGTTCCCCGCTTTCCCCCGAGGAGCGACCGGTTGAAAGGATCCTGCGGCTGCCGGAAGGCGTACAGTATCTGCACGAGGTGGAGACCAAGAACGACGCCGAAGAAAACTCAGTCGTGGAGGTGGGCTGGGGACAATCTTGAGTCGAAAAGGTTGAGAGCCTAGTTGGAAACATGCCGAGAAAGATTGCAGCTTTGAAGACACGCCTCGATACGGTGCTCGCAGTCGGCTTTGACGGGTTTTGATGCGAGATCGCTTTATGGCACCCTTTCAAACAGGTTTCGAGATATCACACCTTTACAGACTTGCATTCTGGTTCTTTCATAGACAGTTTTTTACGCACCTTGAGCTTTGGTGGGTCAGTCTTTTGTAAAGTTGTTGCTGCCTTCTTTCAGGCAAAGAAGGTGACGGTCGCTCAGCAGATTCACATTCCTGCTGACGTGCTCCCATTCTTTGTCGCAGATGTACTATCAAGTTGGGCTGCCGCGAAAGCAGTCTTACGCCGCTGACTATGCTCTGGTGGATCTCTTGGAGCAACTGGCATACGAACCCTTCTATGACCAACTCAGGTGAGCAATGGTACTACTTGTTTGGATCGGACGCCTGTGACAATGTGGGGGTGTGATCGTTCTGTCTCTTGAAGCATATAAAGCCGCGCTGCAATGGTGCTTACCCAAGGCTTGGAGCACGGGAAATCGAGATGAGCACTCTCTTTGGCTACAGCAAGCTTGGAGGTTGACCATCTTCCGTGACTAATCTTTTTTGCTACAAATGTTTTTCATCCTGTCCCAACTTTTTGAGACCATTCATAGCGTTGAGCAAGTTGGCCTTAAAGGTTGATTCACTCAGAAGTCACTCAAAAACCTTTGCTCGCCGTACTCCTTCGTACAATTCAGGTACTGCGTCGACTGCAGATATCCATCGGTTCTACGCTTCTTTTCTTTCTCAACCTTCTCAAAGTGTCGATTTGCTCTTCAGCTAAACATCCTTATAAGCCAGTGTTCTACGTTATGCTGTCCAGGACCAAGGAGCAGCTGGTTACCCCGTCGACTGCTAGCCGGTGCTCCGCTTCTGTTTCTCTAATCTTTCTCACCGTTCTAGTTTTCTTTCTTTTCCAGGACCAAGGAGCAGCTCGGATACCGAGTCGACTGCGGCGTGCGTGCAACGCACCGCGTGCTCGGCTTCTGTTTTCGGGTGCAGTCCGCCGACTACGCTCCCGACCACTTACACAAACGCGGCGAGGCGTTTCTGACCACCTTCCGAAAGCAACTGGTAAGGTCCGGGAGTCCTATACCTTCGCGTATCTTCGTTGTCCTTTTTCATGCTCATTTGGCAGGGAGGGTTCTGCGGGTGTATAGTCAGTCGGGCGAAAGCGGAGCGGCTGACTTTCGTCAATGGCCTGTGGATCAAAAGAGTTGTCTCTAAGGATCTCAGTATCTCTAAGAAGTTATCAAGGGCATCTCAGGTTCAGGAGCTTCTTTGTACAAGGTCGCTCTTTCACCTCCTCTTCCTCTTGTAGGTCGTCCTGTAGTCCCGAGGAAATGAATAAGACCTCCGGTGTTTCAGCTCGTAGTTTTGAAATTTTGAGTTTGGCATGCTGGTCAAGAGGGAACCGCTTCAGAAAACCTGCTCACGTGAATGACAAAGAGAGTGTCTCGTTCTCAAAACCGTCCGTTTTTGAATCCTGACCTTTTGTGTGTCTCTCAGGCTGAGAAGCCGGCGGACGAATTTGACGAGTAGCGCTTTATCCCCTTGATGCCCCGGACTTTTTGAAACTCCGGAGAACTACATACCCAGTTGAAAACATCTTTTAGACTCACCCCCCCACTATGTTCTGTCCCTCCAGGCTGACATGCCGGCGGACGAGTTCGACGAGCACCGCGAGTCGCTGATCGACGAGAAGCTGCAAAAAGACCACGCGCTGCGCGAGGAGAGCGACCGTTTCTGGGAGCAGATTTGGGAGCCGCGGTTAGTTACTTGCCGCGTTTCCTTTTTAGTCTCCTGTGCTGCATGCTTTTCAGAGCGGTCTGACTTAGGCTTCTCTTGCTTCTGCTTTGCTTGTTCTCCGCACTGGCCAGAATGTGGTGAAATTTAATGGAGTCTACTTCTTCTTTGGGTCCGCTGAGTAGCGCTAATTTGGATGGAAACAGCAAGTGCTGTCATTTGGATTGCGTTGTCCCCTGGGTGCGTCAAGTTTGCAAGCAAAGTAGCCCGTGTAGGTATCCGCCACTAACTGCCATATCTATCAGGGCGAGGCGTTTCGATCGTGCAAGCATTGCCGATTGCCTAACATCAAGCCCCGGCCTCGTGAAGAGGTAGCTCAACACCTCGTCCATATTCGTATTAGAAGCGGCCGGCGCCCGAGCAAGCGTTTTGACTAGCGGAGAACGATGCTATATTGTTCCCAACCCCTCTGCTCAGCTCATTGTGCTGCTTCACCTGCATCTGAGCCTGCGTGCGAACCTGCCAGCGATGATGGTTTTGCTCTTACTCGGGTTCAGGTACATGTTCGACGCACGGCAACAAGAAGCCGCCGCGTTGCAAACGGTTACTAAGGAACAGGTATTAGAGTGGTTTGACGAGCACATAGCACAGACTTCGGGGCGACGAAAGCGGCTGAGCATACACGTGTGGGGGCGCAAGGCAGCGGAAAAGCAAGGGGGGATTGCAGCGGTGCAGAGTAAACAGGTTGAGGTTGCAGGGGATGAGAAGCTCGTGCGGACGTTGGACGGGAGCGAGTTGAGAACGGGGCTGGAGTTCTTTCCGGTCCCCGAATTGACAGCTTGATGTTGACTAAGTGCTTGTTACGATGCACGCGAAATCAAGGGCTTACATCTCGTGAGTTTTCCCGATGGTTCTTGGCGGTAAGAGATGTTTCACAAAATATCTTGTCACACCGTTATAGACACACACCTGCGCGCTGAGCATCGCAAACATGAGAGCATTGGGCTCGCTAAATGTCAATCCGCAGCTTGTCGAGTCACTCATTCAGTGTGCAATGCATGCAGTCCGCCTGCATCTCAAAGCTTTGAATCGTGAGTCGCATGCAATCTCATGCAAGATCCCGCCCACTGATTCGAATTGGCTCAATGCAGCTAATTCAGGATCTGATATACGCACGTGATTTTGGAGGGCAACGTATGCATACAGCTTTCAGAATGCAAAGCGGAAACTGTGCGCTGAAGGCAAGCCTGCAGATCGATCATTTCAATTTCAGATCTGACTGTCAAATATGTGATTGCCAGTCTTTGCGCATGATGTATACTGGTATGTAGAGCATGTGATGACAAGTGCCAGGTGAGATGCATGCAAGTTTTAACTGGCATGGCGGATCGACAGCATTTCATGGAGAGCACGCTCAAGGAGATGGCATTCAACTATTCAATTGATTGCAACCTACAAACTTAGATGCTTTCATCTGTAGACACAGCGTGCTGGATCATTGTGAGTGCGTATATACACACATGGATGTTGCAGCTCAGGTTTACTAGTTGTTGGTCACGGGTGCAGAACGACCCAGAGTAAGTTTTTCCTGACTGCACGTCGCCGCAAGCATTGATCGTGCCAGACCGATGTTAGTGCTAATATCGCAAATTGAATGGCAGGTTAATGATCCGCGGACATAAAGCTACAGCTTGAAAGCTGGTTAACTTAGCAAAACTTCCGAGAATCGTGAGTAGATTTACTGTACATGCATCTTGTCACCTATATACTGACGTGGGTGTTGTCGTATTCTCAATCACAGCCTATATACAGGTCATTCTTGCAGCTAACACCTTCCATATCTATCCCTCTTCCTTCTAGCAGCTGGAGGGCCCTCGTCGTGAGGCACCTTGTTGTGAATCCGCGCTTTCAGGCCCATCATCAAGACTGGAAGATCGTACTTTCTTCCACCAACCACTTCCAGACCATCAAACTCGTTGTTAGGTCCAAGAGTCAACTCTGCATCCAGAATCTCTTCTGGCTCCCAGCAAAGGTACTCCTGACCAGACTCAGCTGGTTGCTCGCACTGCTCCAGTTGCAACCCGTCTTCTCCCTCTAAGGAACCTTCCATAACTGGGGGCAAGCGAACAAACCCGTTTCTCAAAACCTCGTCAAAAGCAGAGGCCAGACTCTCGTTAGAAAGACCTTGACAACTTTCCCCCTCGACACAACTGCAGCCCACATTTATCTCGGCAGAATACTTAGGTCCTCTTTCTGACATCAATGCCACATCAAACCAGGCTGCCGTCTCTTCTCTTGACAGCTGACGGAAGAGAGCCCCCCTGACCCTCTTCCTTTTCGTTGCCGCCCCAGGGAAGGCCCAGGAAGCCTCAGGGGCGCCTTGTGACATGCCCAACCTGCCTCTGCTGACGTCTTTCTGAAGGCTGGGTGTGGACGAGCTGACGTCATCTGGGCGCACCACCCCGAAGCTGGCAAGAAAGCTGCCCAACGAACATTCTTCCTGACTGGGGCTCCTTTCAAAGCAGCGCGTATCCCTGCTCCCTGCAGTCCCACATGAGCTTCCAGAGCACCCCTGGGGTGACGTCACCTTTTCGTCAGCAGCTGACGTAGGAGCTCCAGAGAGCTGCTCCTTCCGGAAGGCCTCCCTCAGGAGCTCAAACTTGAACTGGCCCCGGTACACTGCAGCCGCCATCGCGACTTCCGCTTCAGAGCAATGAAGGCCTCTCCTGCAGTTTATATGGCTACCCTGCGATGTCAAGTAATCCGCTTTCTTCTTCTTTGGGGATAGAACTCTTCAGCCTGTGGAGCTGTGAGCAGGCTCGTAGCTGGTGGGACTCTAGGACTCTTTGGTTTGCAGCGGCAGGGAGAATGTGTGAACGTCGCAGGTTTTTAGAGGAGCAGGCAAATACGCAAGCGCAGCTGGTATTGTGATCAAAGGATGGCTGCAAGGAGATTCACAAATGCTGCAGGGGCGTAGCTTCCACTTCTGCTTCTGGCAAAAGCTCCTGAGTTTGCAAACGCTGGGTCACATTGGCAAGGGCTGCTGCCAGCTTATGTGTCTACCACAAGCGAACCTAATTTGTATTGCGCTCTCAAATGACAATGTGGAGGAGACTGAAGATTCAGCTTTGTAGGGTAGAAGCATACTGCTGGCAAATCAGAAAGACCTCTCGCATCTATTCTTGAAGGGAGAGCTTGCTGTGTCATGTAGGGGAGTTCCGAGTTCGTCACCGCCAGCAACTGCGGTGTCGCAACCGAACCCATCGCGGCAATCGCGGCGGTCCGAAGTTAGGCTTCAGATCCATCGGACGGTTCAGGATTCTCCATCACCGATGATCCCTTGCACGGTTGCGAAACCGCGAGACTCGGAGTCAGCAGGATGATCCCCCTTGGCCAGCTTTGCCCATGCGTGTTCCGAGATTCTTAAGATTCAACCATCGCCCAAAGCATGCCATACCTATTACCATGCCCATGCAGTGGTGATGGTGCACTTATTGAGTGCGAGGTACAGGACCACCTAGGTGCTTGGTTGGAGGATACGACGGGGTGCACTGTAAGCCGGCAGAGTTTCGCTTGGAAGCTCACGAGGCAAGCAGGCTGCAGCTTGCTCGCCCAGCTGGTCGAGCTACTATCGCCCCGCTGCTGAAGACGCCGGACTGGACTCGGAATCTTCGATCGTAGTGAACGAATCATACTACCTTGCTTGTACGTTAGAACAATGTGGCATCTGCATATATTTGCAGGGGCGACCGGCCAGGCAATCACAGCCTTCAATCAAATTCAATCGCACAATCAGATTGAGGGCAATTCTTATGTTCTTAATTCTACTGGCATCTACCAGTGTGCACGTACTATGATATTAAAGACTCCAATCAGCTGAGACTTTCGGCTCCACAGCGTACATGTGCCTTGAGAGCTCATGCAGACAATTCGTTGATTGCATACTTCACTTGCATGATAAGCAATATGTGCTTCCACTTATATAACCACTGGCACCACTCTTACAGGCGCCCTTTCGTTACGTTGAGGTTTTTTGTCCAGGTTGTCATAGGAGTTTCACCTCTTGGATTGTCTCCTGCATACTGCCTAATATGAAAGCATCTCATCACGCGCTGACTGACAACTTCACACTGGCACATCAAAGCTGGCAAGACACGAATGTGTCGCAATGCATCCGACAATCTGATGTATCTGGGGCCTGGATGACTCGACTCAAGGTTTGGACCAAAATCCTGAACATCCTGCAAGAGAATGACTCTCACATATGCAAAAGCCCTTCGAGAATCGACGAGGAACCCATGCCGAGCCCTCGTTCGGCCAAAGAAAGCTGCCCGGCGGCCAGAACGCGTTTTCACTTCCGCTTTGCTACACTTGCGAACGCATATTGGATTTCGGGTCCGCTCTAATGATGACCGAGTGCACGCCGGTTTATTCGTTTAAGCTGGGATTTGAGAACAGCGCCACTCTTTGGAGAAGATCACTTTGCTCCTTTGCAGACGTCCTTGTGCCCTGCCTTCCACGCACTCTTCTGGCACTCTGCAATAGGAAGAAGGCTGCTTGAAGGCTGATTGCAGGTTGATTGATCGATGCCTATGCAAGTGGTACCCCTTGAACTCGAAGCCGACAGTCAACCCACCTCAATCCTGAGCTCCACACAGGATCCATGTCCTCAACCAAGCATTCATCAAGGAAATTGACCGCTGAGGCCGGGCCAGTAAGCCACTCAAGGACGAAAGAAGGGAAGAGTTAAGAATCAGGTCAGACAGTCTCAGACCAGTGTGAAACCATCACAGCTAAAACACAAGACCGTCTCGTGATCTCGCAGCTAAGTTTCCTCCTTTGTTCTACAGGGTACTCGCTTATGGGACCTGTTTGGAGAAGACGTACCGAAACCATTCGCTGTTGGATGGATCCAACTGCTCACGGGCTTCCAATCTGAGCGATAGCAGGCAGAAGATTCTTACCTCTCCCGCAATACACTGCATTTTGGCAGGCCGCACACTTTCGGAACTCCCCTCGTTTGGTCTCGACCTTCTCGCACCCTGAGCACTTCTTGGTCCCTTTCTTCTCCTTCACTTTGGAGGCCCCCCTCTCAGCCCCTCTCAACTCCTTCCCCGCCTCGACATGCTCTTCTTCAGTGGAACCAAGAGCCTGTCGCAGTTTCTGCACCTTTTTCTGAGCCACAGGGTCGTTCTGAGCCTGCTTTTGCATCTTCTGAGTCAGCATTTCATGATCCTCTTCACCTAGGGCTGTCCCCTGGCCAGCATCTGAGCTAAGCAAGGCGGCAAGCTTTGTCACCAAAATCTGATTCTCGCGGTCTAGTTGCTTGGGACAGAGTACCAGGGCAAGCATCGCCGACCTCAGATCAGCAGGGAAGTCATAAGGAGTAGAAGATGACGCAGAAGCTGACGCAGGCCACTTGCTCTTATCCAGTGACCTGCCTGAGAGAAGCCTCTGGAGCAGCTGCAGCGTACGGCTAATGGTCACCTTGTCATCAGGAAGCAGGAAGACCCTTTCTGCCAGCAGGAGCAGGCCATATTCTAAGGAGGCAAAGTCAGCATATTGTTGAACGGAATGCAGCAGCGAGATGGCGCTTTGGTGATTTCGAAAGCCGCTGACCAGCGCGGCAACTAGGGAAGCGTGCTGCAGAACAATTGCAAGGAAAGCGGTGCTCTTCCCAATCTCTTTGCACGCCGACTCGCAGAGGCACAGCTTGGGTAACGCGTTGATCAATTTATTCATCGCGTTGTGCTGGACGACAAGAGTGTTCGAGTCCTTGTCTCCGACCGTCTGCAACTTTTGAGCAAGAGCTTTCAGAAGGGGTACAAAGCAGGGAGAAGCTTTCAGCATGTAATCGACAGAGTGAGCGTTGACTGCAAGGCCTGAAACGGCTCCCAGAATGACGACAGGCTTGAAGAGAGCAGCAACCTGGCGGTTGGATGTCAGAGTATGTGAACTTGGATACACCAGCCATGATCCATAAACGGACTCTTCCAACCCCTTTGTAATTGCTTTCATGAATCCTTTCCGCAAGACAAACGCCGCAGCTTGGATGTCTCCCTCCGAAGGCTCTGATCGTTGTAGCGACTTGGAATGAACATCTCCAAACCTTTTGATTGCCAGCATCCTCGTTGCTTCCCTATCTGAACCAGCATCCTCCAGGATTTTTCGCAAAAACGCCCAATTTGGTGGTTTGAGCCGATCGCCATCACCCATTTTTGACAGGTAAATCCTTCTCGATGCTTCTCCCCTTGAGCCTCTCCTTGCTCGCCTGAATTATGCCGTTCACGTGCATGCACCCTGTCTCATAGCGCAAGAAGCAGATACACGTTTGTCCGCTGCACCTACTCGGAGATGCGTCGCGGCCTCTTGCCAGCTAGGTACGATTATTCTCCTTGTTACTCGATCTTGCATTGCAGATTAGGGAAATGAAAGCCTGATCCGACGAATCCTGCTTCCTTTTTCTGCCGCGCCTGGAGTGCCTGTGTAATGCGGCTGAAGCGTCCTACATGAAAGGCAAAGCTTTGATTGCGGCTTGGTCCAGGAGTGGGACCACCAGGACGCGCCTCGACGCGCAAGGCGCTTCGTCACGATGCAGAGCAACCATTCTGACTCTGTTCGGACTCGTTAAAGTCTACGACGATACGCAAAGCTAGCAACGAGTCAGGACGCCGGTTAGGCCTGCCAGATCACGCCCTGAGCTGTTCAGTTCTGACGAGCGACAGGACTTCGTGGACTGCGCTCTACGCAGACTGCTCTTCGGAGACTTCGCGGACTCGCTCCAAGAATACAAGGGGCAGGCTGATAAGCATGGAGATTGCACCTCTTTTCGTCCTCTTTTCTTGCCCACGAGATCCATGTTCGAGTCTGACGAGCTCAGAGGCGTCACTGACCTTCATATCGGTCTGAGCTGTGCCCTGATGTTCTAAATATCTTGCATGATGGTCTGGTTGAAGTCCGGGTTCTCTTGTTGCTTGCTTTGAAATAAACAAGCACAACACACACACACACATACACGAGTGAATGGCAAATGAATAGGCAAGCGTGCTCGTGGAGCTACAGAACGCTACGTATACAAGTAGCGGCCCGGGCCCACGATCACGAATCAATTAAAATGTGGCACATAGTGCCGAGTTCAGCGAATCAATGAATACCTAACAACGAATCGGGATTGGTTCCCACCAATCAAGCGTGTGCTAAACACAGCTTCTGACGCCCGTCAGCTCTACACGTGTTCGAAACAGTCTACAGAAGGAC